TACTGCTACCAAAGCCCCGGCCTCATAAGCTTAAGGGAGGGATGCCTCCGTGGAGGACGTTTCGTATACACGTTACACATGGGGAAAACCACGAAAACACCCATGCAGCCAGCCCGTTCACGGGATTCGAACCTCGGACCGAACTACCAGTGTCAGTGTCGTTACTGCTCGGCCGCTGGTGGGCCCTATGGGTTACCAGACTGGCAGCCTTGAGTTGTAGTAGGCAAGTTGCCACAGTACTCCCCCTCCAGTGCTAACGATAATCTTACAAATACTTTGGATTGATGTGAACTCGACGACCCGAGCGTGTTCTTGTCGTAGCATCTGATAAGTCGGAAGCCGTGGGTTTTGTCGAAGGTTTGCTTTGAAGTCCGTTGGAGATAGATGTACGGAATCCCCAGACAAACGGAGATTAGTACCATATACCAGACTGGCAGCGTTGAGTTGTAGTAGGCAAGTTGCCACATTGTGTAAAGCATATTTGGCGTTATTATCGCTTATAACAAACATGCCAAGTTTCAAAACTTGCCAATACATTAATTCCCGTATATCTTAGGAAATTTTATTTAAAAAAACTTCAAATACATCTGCTTTAAGGCGATAGTAAAAACAATTACAGGTTATAATTCAAAAATGTTTTCGAAAAATTTGTAAAAATTACTTAAAACCTACAAATTAAAAAAATATATCATGACATATCTGCGAATGTTATTAGGATTGAACCTGAATTTCGAAACCTGAAAGAAGGAATCAAGTAAATTTAATAAAAAACGGGATATTAATAAATATGTACCAAATTCAATTGATACTGAGGAGCTAAATTTTAGGAACTAATTTTTAAAAAACTACTTGTGCGATTTTTAGAAACATTGGCACTTGGGCATAATCTGAGTCGTAGAATTGAAGTATGGAAAAACTTTTTCTGATGTTAGAACAATGCTATAACTTAAAAACCTTTGAGATTTTCATATAAATGCGTGCTAGAGATGAAGTATGCAAATTTGTTTTATGACGTGGTTATTAGTGGTTACTTTGCACTGATGGAAGACGTCGAATTTGGGCAAGAATCCCAAGAAGCCATGAATCCATCTTGCCTTACTCTTACCGTGTAGGGGTCTGATTGGAGTATCATGATATGGGTAATGTTCTGCTGGCATGGAAGTGTTGCCCTGGTGTACCTCGAGAATAGACAAACATTCATGAGATACCTAGATATACTGGCAGATCAAGTGCACCCTGCCACGATGCATTTTTACCCTGATGGCGACGTATACTTCATAGGCAATAGTGCAACTATGCATCATGCCAGAAGTGTTCAAAATTGGTTAGCTGAACATCTATCTGACTTCCAACACCTACTCTGGCCAGCGCATAGCCCGGATTGTAATCCCATAGAAAATGGTGGAAAGACGCTACCGACAGCACTCTCCTCTTCCATCTGATTTACAAGATCTAAGAAGCTGCATAGCTAATGCATGGTATTCTCTGGACGTAAATGCATTCCAGAAGCATGTAGACTCGATGCCCACACGAATCAGAGCAGTTATCTGTGAAAAAGAGGGTCCAATAAAATATTGATCTTGGTTTCCTAATTCATTGACCAGAGTGTGTATAAATCTAATATAGTGTCTAAGTTGCGCATTAGAGACATAAAAAAACCTCGAGTTAAAAGTTCGTCAATAGGCCCTATAGAACAGGACATATATCCTTTGTCAGAAAAGTTTCAGGATGAAGGTCGTAAAAGGTAGAAAATTGCATTTACCAAGTAATTGTCCTAGCTGGTATCAAAGTCGCTCCCTTGGCTATCTATACACAACTGCTAAATTGATGAAATTAGACGCATAGTTATCTCGAATATCTTCCTCTCCTTTCTTGTACTGGTCCGAGGTTTCGCCCTCGAATCATTTTAGTTGCTGAACAAGTGACCACGATCTGTTAGGAAAGTTTTCAGTGACTGTATAGAGCACTTTCAGCCATGTGGATTACTACGTCCAGGTTTAATTACCCCCGAATGGTAAGTAACGCACTGGTGCTCAAAGTCGTTTATAATATATTATTTGATCTACAATATCCAGCTTTGGTTTAGACTGAAATGTTATCTAGTAAGACTTCCCGCTAGAACTGCAAGGGCGGTTCACGGAATTGCTCCAAGAACTACGCAAATACGCAATAGGAATGGAAGTGGGATTGAGTTAATTATAAATTTTAGATATTGATTTTTTAATCCCATGCATATAAGATATCTCATAAGGTGCCAATACCTAATAGACGCATTGATACCTCCCTCCCACTTAAGGGAAGATATTTGCTGCACTGAGGTTGTGATCAACTGAGATCGTTGTTTAATGTGCAGCAGCCATGAGAGCAATTTCGTGTATTTTAATTATTCCCCACATTTTTAATGCTTTTACCATTAAAGTTAACACAAAGATTGCATTTGATTGGGTCTTTTGGCCAATGACAACGGTCAGATTCGTTTCTGAGGAGACTACAAGTTTATATGGGTATTTGCCGACTCTAAGAATTTATCGATACTTGCTTATACTCTTCTCTGTAGATTGCTAACCATCGCAAACCACCGCGTGTGTCACTACCATCATGAATAGGAACAATATTACAGAGCCTTGGCTCAATCTCTGAGCCCTGGAGGTGGTAGTCTTTCGTTATGTTATGTCTCACTATGGTCATTTGAAAGCTGCTTCAACTTTTCAGTAAATCAACTATTTCCACTGGAGAACTGGTTGTTGCGACTGCTGATTATATGCAGCTACTACAGTGAAGCAAATTCACCTTGAGAATCTTTGATGTGATCCTGATGCGAATATGTTTTGCTGCCTATTCTCAGCTGTAAACTTGACGCAATATTAATATTAATATAATCTTAATATTGCGTTTTATAGCCCAAGCGGTCCTAAGACCGTACAGGTTGGAATACATAATGCCACCGATTTCCAGAAAGTGGTTTCAGCGAGTGGCTATTTATGTTCTAGCAGCTTCTCTATTGCTGGTAGGAAACAAACTGCTGTGATCTTGATGTTGTTCCAGCAGGAGCTGAATTTAGTTTCTTTAATTTGTCTTTCATAAGCTGCGAGTACATTTTAAAAATATTCTATGTGGAATTGGCATAATGTGCCATCTGAGGAAGCTTGCGCCTTGTGTCACAATGCTATCATCACTTTTCCTCAGTTGTAAGAAGAGGAGATCCCCATAATTCACAGCCATATTCTTTGCGAACTTTGAGGGTCCCTCATAGGATATTTTGAATCTTCGTTACAAAATTATTTATAATAAATATATTTATAACAAAGACAATTTATAACAAATATATTTGAATTTTTGTTATAAACTCCTGCCCAGCCAAGTGTCCGGACTAGACAGGGCTATTAGATTGGACTAGGCAGGACGATTAGATTGAGTAGATAAATGTCCGGATTCGTAATGATTGATTTATGGTCACTCTGAGAACGTATATCTCTCACTGACTAGGCCTGAATTTGAGCTTTAATATTGATTTTGACAAGCGTCAGGTGAGGCCAAACTGTAGCCCTTGGAATTTCGAAGGTCAGAGGTGAATCCATGCAGTTGATGATTACCAGCCACCGAGATGCCTCGTAGGCCATTAATGATTCTGCTCGATGGCTTTGGTCTCTCTGCACCCCACAGATGACTTGCTGCTTTGTAATTCTCAGTCAAAATGCTGTAGCGTTGAACTTATTAAGTCTAGTTCAGTTAATTGAGATGCTATATCTGCCTTCACGGGGAAATAAACGGAGATGAATGCGTAGTAGATTATGGAGAGAAGAATTCTCACCATGTGCTCAGTGCTATGGAGAAGAATACAGGTTATTTCCCCACTGCAGAGAATTGCAGCTTTCAGTGATGCGAAGTTTCTGCAGCAAGGGGAAGCATTCCTTTTGCTATATACAGCTTCTGCATCCCAGACATTTCGATATGAGGCTGAGTGACAATATGATATAAATATAAATATTTAGTTTGGCAGCATGTAACCTGACCAGACTACATTGCAGAGTTCTGTGGCGCTCCCGACTGCGCTGCTATGGCTGAAGTAGGAAAATGCATGCTTATTGTTGCTGTCAATGTGTAACGGTCTCCTTTCTGAATGTACGAATATCTCCATAAGTGAGACAAGCACTCGATGTAGCTGAATGACTGGTGCTATAATTATTGCCTTTTGTGCTAGCTAACTGAATTTGTGCAATTGGCCTGCAATCCAGTAAGGGATTTTTTATCTTGCAATTAGTGGCATCTGCTGCACCTAGGATATGCCAGAGTAGATTTGCAAGAGCAACTGTGGTGTTCCAGTTCTTGCCGGTTGTAACACAATTTGACGCTGCTTAAAATACGAAAAGCATAGGAGCTAACGTTGAGGTAGGTCCGAGCATTCGAAATGACCTTTTTTGTACCGGGAAAGGCTACTTACTACCCAATTGCTCGTTGCAGCTTAACTATAATATCGTAAAATATAGGATAGATTGAACAGACTAAGCAACAATGAATACTGAAGACTTTCCTTACGAATTGATATGATTAGCACAGATACAAGTTTTAAACAAAGAAAACTAACCAAAGCTTTCTTTCGTAAAAATATAAAACGGTCTAAGTTCCAGGTGTTATTTTTTGTAGTTGCTATATAAATGATTGCTATATAAATGAAATATTAATGAAAATAAAATATAAATGAAACTTTATTTTCAGCTACGTTTTGAGGTAAATTTTCTATCGGTTATTTACGTCTCTAAAATTCTATTTTATTTCGGTTATCACATCTCTAAATTATCAATGCGATTGTATCAAGCGGCACCATTGACTTGTACATTTGACTTTAAAAGTGAAATTTATTCTTATCATATGCATGCGTGTTATCTTCGCATTTTAATTTATCTATTAAAAATGTTGCATAAAACGATTTTGTTCGATAAAAATACATTCGAACTGAAACCGTAATTCTTTTCTTCCAATTACAGTTCTTGCCCCTCAGTTCGAAGTCTAGTCAGATAAATAGCAGCGGAAAGGGTACAATGGGAACAAATGCACCTGAGAAAATCTGTTGCAATTTAATATTTTCGTGCTATCAAGAAAATTTAGGCTACCTGAAGAGAGCTCTTAAATGTCGGTAAGTTAATATTAATTTCTAATTTTAGAAAGAAAATAATTTAGACGAATTATTATGATCCATTCTTATTCGGAGTAAATGTGTTGTGTTGTTGTGACTAATCTCACTGTCTGATCTCTTCAGAACAAATTCACGAAATTCTTCGTGGTGAAGGGTACACGATTACGCCTGTAGTTGGCAAAAGGTCTAGGCACCATATAGGTGGTAGCAAAATTTGCCAGATTCAACACTATTTTGAGCGACAGCACGCCAGAGGCTGAGTTCGAGTTCTTCCATTCCTCTTACCGTGTTACTAAACCACACGAGAGGATTTTCGGCGAGCCATATTTCGAATACTTTTGGCTCTCATATATTTAGGGTGTCTCCCATGCAGGAAGGACACTGTAGTTTACAAGCATCCATGCCTTTTCAGCGATTTGTACCCGGGGCTTTCGGTATGCCAGTCAGAGTCATTAACCATAATTTCATTTGGCTGGTATTTGGAGCAAATAAAATGCATGGATTGCTTAATTAGTGATGATTTAAGTAGGAATGTTCAACATTGAAGTATCAAACATATCTTATCAAAATAGTTTCCGAATTCTAAGGTAAACTTCTTTGAAGTAGGTATTTTGAATTCTGCGAAGCAAAATATTTTAAAAGTTACTAAATCAATATTCTATATGAATTGTATATATCTATATTTACATGTATTGTAATATTAGAATATTACATTTTAATATATGATATATATATATATAAATTCAAGATGTAATAATGTATGTAAAACAGACAGGATTCTATAATTCAGGATGTAATAATACGTTAATATGTATATATTGCCTTCTTCAAGCGACGGTTTCCTACCCCATTTCCTTCTCTCACGGGGAGTGTTTTTTCAATTTGATGGAACTTTCAAGAAACATTTTCAGTTTAAATCATTATTATTTTTTTAAGTACAAATGCTTTCAAAGAAGCATTTTAAATAAACATATAAAATGTAATATTCTAATATTACAAAAATTTAAACAATGAAGTTTTAAACTTCTTAGAATGTATATTTTTAGTTGTGAGATGCTTGGATCCAACGACTTAAACTGTCAGCATTTTGATGGTGTTTTCCCTTTCTATGTGCAACTTCTTAGTTAAAAGGTTGTAAGATATGCTAATCGTAATAGTCTAGGATTATAGTCCTAGTGTTTTTATCCAACCATACTAGACGATTATGGATCAGTTTGAAGAATAGACTTATGAGTTCGATCTAGGTAGAATTTTAATTTTTGTACTGCAAAGATAATGGCAATACACTCCCTTTCGGTTGTACTGTACTTTTGTTCAGTAGGTGAAAACGTTTTGCTAAGAAATATTATTGGATGTTCTTCGCATTCAGCATTTATCTCTGATAAAACAAGGCCAATGCCAATATTCGAAGCGTCGCACGGAACGATAAATGCCTGAGAAAAGTTTGGACTGTATAAGATTGGATTTTGTGTTAACCGTTTTTTGAGTTCATCAAAAGCGTTTTGGCAGTCATCGGTCCAGTTTATGGTTGAGCTGCAACATTTTCCTTTTAATAAAGCTATCAGTGGTGCAGAAAGCACAAAACATTCAGAAATATACCTTCGATAATACCCAGCAAGTCCTAAAAATGACCAGACCTGTGTTTTCGTGGTACATTTAGGGAAGTCCTTTATGGCTTGGATTTTTATTTATGCTGGTCTTCTTTGACCTTGTCCTACTACATGACCTACATATTTGACAGTCGTATGAGTAAACTGACATTTTGAAGGCTTAATATGCAGTTTAGCAATTTTCATCTTCTCCAAAATAATTTCTAAGTGCTTCAAATGTTCTTCCCAGGTTTGCGAGTATAATGCAACATCGTCAATATAGAGTACAGCAAATTCTTCACAGTTTCTTAATAATTGTACCATCAAGCGGCTAAAATCGTATGGTGCATTTTTTAGCCCGAAAGGTAACCTTAAGGGTTCAAATGTTCCAAAAACTTGTCAAAAAAGCAGCTGGGCTCGTTTAGTTAGTGGGATCTGCCAGTAAACTCGAGTAAGATCTAGAACGGTTATATATCTGGCAGATAACACCTTGTTCCACTAAATGTTCAATGTTTGGTAAGGAAAATATTGTGTCCTAGTTACCTTATTCAAGCGACGGCAATCAATGCATGGTCTTGCCTCTTTTCCAGGGACTTCAATCAGTATGAGTCAGAGGTAAAATCCGATTCACCTGGTTCTATTACTTTGAGTTTTATCATCTTTCCTAAATCAGTTTTTAAAATCTCGGTTTGTCTGGCAGACATCCGATAAGTTTTTGCGCATATTGGTCTTTTTGCTCCGCTATGTTATGTTAGACAAAAGACTATATCATGTTAAGGTCAGTACATCCTGGTTCATTAGAGATAATACAGGAATACGTGTACATCAACTGCTTTAAATGTTTTCGTTGGTTTTAGTGAATTCAACTGGATGCCTTGCAAAACTTCGGACATTTCAGTATCTGCGCTATAATTTAGACTCAGTATTTCATTTTCGTAGCCGTTTATCCTGTCTTCTAAACATAGCAAGTTTATATTTTTCTGCTCGTTGAAAATACGGTTTCAGCATATTAATGTGGTACACCTGAGTTTTATTATTGTCGGGAACTCGATTACATAATTTGTCTCTGATAATTGTTGAATTATTTTTCCACGACCTACCCATTTAACTAATAGTTTGTTTGGCTTTGTTGTAAAGAGAGAAGTAGAGGGCGCTGCTTGGCAGTAGCGTAATGCATGTAAGTAGAAACAAAATGTCGTTTGATTAGGCAACATGATTTCTGTGAAGGTAGTCCACCTAACAATAGGACAGTTGTAAATATGTAAATATAATGGATAATAAATAGTATTAGAAAAACTGAACCACCGGATGTTTTGTGATTGCTCTACGGGCCGCCATGGATAAATGCTGTCTCGTCGCAGGCTTCGATGGAGCTACAACTAGAACTAAGTGTCCTTCTTGAAATTTACGTTCTACGGCTTTGCGATCCTACCAGAATTTTTGCCTTTCTTTGGCTTCTTTCATATGCTGGATATATATAATCGAATGAGGAATGTTCTTGACATTTCCTCATTCGATTCATTAGTTCAAAAAAATATAGTCCACTACTATATTCTCTTCCTCTTCTTTACCAGATAATGTTTCATACAATAGCATAATTGGAGTTCTTAAGTTTCTGCCATGAACAAATTCTGCGGGTGAGAAACCGACTCGAAGAATTTACATAAGACATAAGACTCGAAGAATTCTTTTTAAAGTTCTATGCATCCTCTCTACAGGATTGCTTTGTGGGTAATAAACAGAACTTCGCACAACTTTAATTCCGAATTTTTCTAGGAAATTCGATGTCAGCGTACTCGTAAAAGATGTGGATTGATCGGTTTGGACCTCCTTTGGAAATTCCATTCGACTGAATATTTGAAGAAAACATAAACAATCAGGGTTGAACAAAGATTTGCGACAGAAACTGCATTCGGATATTTTGAAGACATGCAGATTGTCTCAGATTCTCTTAATTCCCAAAAAGGGTGGCTTACCTTAAATGGCCTACGATCACCTTAAATGGCAGTAGACAAAAAATCGCACCACAGCTTAACTACCTGGGGTTAATTTTTGATGAAAAATTAAACTGGATCCACCACGTGATAGAGACGAAAAACGGACTGCAATAATAACTGCCAAGCTCAGACAGATGCAGGGCTATCGTTGGGGACTGAACCCACATATATTAAAAACTATGTATCTAACAGTAATCGAAAAGATTGCAACCTATGCAGCAGTAGTCTGGGCTATTCCAATGCAGGGATGAAAAGTAAAGCACCTGCAAAGCGTGCAACGTCCCTTTACATTGGCCATGACGAGGGCATATCGTACCACCTCAACCAACGCACTCAGCGTCCTTGCCAGCGTCCACTACATCTCAAAGCCCTGCACGAAGCTACCATACAGAAGGTAAAGCAGCTACAGCAAGCCGCCTTTCTGGATGAAATAAATTACTCCCCAACGGATTATGAGAGACTACTGCAACATCTAGAACTACACCCATCTCAGCAGGGACAGGGTGTCAATATCTACCTAAAAGAAGACAGACACCCACCTGCCACTGCTCTCAAGATTTTTACAGACGGTTCCAAATTAGATAACAGCGCGCTGGTAGCTTACAACAACGATGCAAAAAATTTTCAATGGAAGGGACGTATGCACGATAACAATAGTGTGTTCCAGGCCGAAGGTACAGCGCTGGCAAAGGCCATAGCCTACGTCAATACTACTGGAGTCACCACTGCCACTGTTATCACAGACAGCCTCTCTGTTCTACATTCCACCAAAAATGTGAAACAGGCCTCTATGATCATAAACAAGATACAACAAACTCTTCGCGAAAGTTCTCATAAAAAATCCACCTAGTAGGGACAAAAGAACACGCGGGGGATGCAGAAAATGAAGTTGCAGACGCACTGGTTAAGGAAGCAGCGAATAATAAGGATGCTGAACAACTCAATATAGACTGGCCACTCTCCCACTTGAAGCGAGTAATTAACTTACAAATTCTCTCCAAGTGGCAAGAAGAATAGAACACTGATAGAACCGGTAGAAGGACGCACTATCACATGTTTTATGTAAATCCTGCACGACAAGTCACTAGCTCGCAACTATTCAGATTTATCTCAGGGCACGGACCCTTTCCTGTCTTTTTCCAACGCACACGGATATATGCATCTGTGGTGAGACGGGAACGCCCGAACAATATCTAACTACATGCCCTCTGACAAGAGAGTATCACATAAAAATGCCCACAACAAATGTTCAAGCCTTCGTAAAGTATTTAGTTAAGCAAAAACATCTCGTAAGGAAAATTATGAAAATGATGGACTTATTATTCAACAATGGGATTAACTTATGTCAGGTGACATAATTACCCAAGATATCTAATTGCTATAAGTTAAAATAATATCTCCACGGTAGTGACTTAATGTGACGGATGTTGTCTTAACGCTTCAGCAAGTACAGTGCTATCCAGTTATAGTATAGACTTGTATACAATAGAATTTCACAAAAGTAAGGGGTAGTGCAGAGGGTATTTTGGCTACACGGGACATTATGTACGTATGGACAGCCAATACAAAGTGTAAATTATGTAATCCAATTTACAACAACGGTAAATGTCTTAAACCATATGTACAGTAAATGCAATGTGCACCTAAAATTTAACAAGAGTATACCATAATCATGCAGTAAGCGCATGTGATGTACTGCACACAGTGGTAATTTAGTATATGTATAATCTTGTGTATGAAATATTGTAATATTAATGAATGCACCATATGCCATCTAATGAAATGAATAGTTTATCAATTCTAACAAACGTATATCTAACGTAATGTGGATAGCGCATCTAATGGTCTAACACATGAGTCTTTATTGTCAAATAAATATAAATCTAATGTGAACTGCACACCTAATAGCATTATAAACTAGCATTTCATGTAATCTGTTTGGAATTCTTCTGTAACACAAAATGGATTGTATATGTGTACATAAATTCAGAATACTCAGCATATCTACTATAATGTATAAAAGGATATTAACCATGGCAGTGAACCCCATCGGATGCTCTGGATAATGGTGGACGTGGTGCTGTACTGATTAACCACTATGGTAAAGGAACAGTGTCCACGTTTTCCGTCACTCACTCACTCACTCTCCCTAAGACCGAAGAACTTCGGGGTTAAATACCGCTGTTCTTCATTGTGTATTCAGACGTGATTCTAAAACTACGTTCTGGCTGGAAGTGTAAGTTGAAGTTATAAATCGATAGGAAAGGAACTTTAACTCAAAATGTAACTGTTAATAAAATTACCACAATCCTTACAGCTTCTAATACTCTTTTGATGAAGTATTCACTCTTCACTTTATCTATGATGGCTCTAATTCTTTTGGTACCGTAATAATTTATGAGGGAATTGTAAGAGAAAGATTACGACTGTTGTCGGGAGATGTTTGCTCCTGGAATTCAGGAAGTAGCTCGAGGTATTTATATAAAGTCTGACCCAAGAGGTCATCATTCGTGAATATTGCTGCTTTTATATCACTTCTCTCGTAAGATTGCCTAACCCTGAAGCGTTTCCTCTTTTTATTGACACTAGAATTCTTCTAATTTCTGAGTTTAAAAAGTGTATGTTAGTTTTGTGGGCCAAGAGGTGTTCTCGGGGTTTCTCGGATTTTTGCCTCTTGTTCTGAGTCTTCTTGTGCGTTATCTTGGTGATATTGTTTACTAAATATTAAATTTTTGATGGAAAAAACGATAACGATATAAGATTTACTTTTCTGTTATAGCAAATAAAATTTGATGCACAGAAAAGAGATAACCGAATTATTCTGGTTTTTTATATATCCGGATCCGCTGTGGTGAAGGCTAATCCTAACATTTGACCTTCTACTCTACATGCATATAAGGAAGAGAAAATTAAAATTAAAAAAATTAAAATTGAAACTGACAAATTCAACTTCATATTGATCATTTATATCTATATATAATGCATCTTAACCTAAGCTTGCATTTCGTCTAGATTTAGACATACGTATATTTGTTTTAGAAAATTAATAAAATTTACTTATATTCTTTTAAATAAAATTATATTTTCTCTTTCAGTGAATAATGTCTGGCAAAAGAGCGAATCACAGTAAAAAGGTAATTTCCGTTTATTTTGGATAAAATATGTGATATTATTAGAAAAAATATCTAAAATCTCGAATAATAATATTTCCCGCATAATTAATTTTAGTTCTTCTAAAATTAGCTATATGTGATATTCTTATTCAACAACATTATTTGTCTTATTTCAGTTTAATAATATGTAATATTTCCGCTTGCAAAGCAAAATCAGGTATTTCTTCCTTACCTGTATGCTGGATCTATGAATTTTATACATTCGCTCAAATTAAGAATTTTTTAAAAACAATTCAAGGAAATTTCAAATTAGGTTTCAGTTATGCAATTAATAAGCATAACTTTACCGTAGTGAAATTGCAAATTTCTCTCCTTCCATAAGTTATTTATAATATTGTAATGAATATTATCTAGGAAATTTAAGAAAATGATATTTAAGCTATTTGCTGAATATTCATTTCACGATTTTCTTTCCAAATTTGCAGTTTTCTGTATAGAATGCAATAGACTTATTATGTCATAATTATAATTAATAATTTTTGTGCGTTGTAATTACTTAAAATAATTTCCAACAGAATTATTTCAGTGTTCAAGTGCAAAATATTTCGAGTGTAGGTATCTATGCATGTGCAGAGGTTCGCCAAAATTTCCTTTTGAATCCATTTTACAATCCGTTTTGGAAAGAAGAATCTTTTAATTTGTCTTTTGTCCGTACGTACGCATATCACCTCCCCAAAAAAGAGTCAAAGGTATTTTGGGAACGGTGAAAATGGATATTTCCATTGAACTATGACACCCAAAACTTTTCGTAATTATAATACTTCTTTGCCTCGTTCAAGGGAGTAAAAAATCGATGTATCAAGCACGCAGTAAACAACGTTTGATTGTTGTTCTTGCATGTAATGCAAACGACAGTGATAAACATCGTCCCTTGGGTGATCGTTACGTGCAAAAACTCTTTTCTTTTAAGAACATAAATATAATTTTACCTTGCATATTTTCTTCTCATAAGAAGTTTCGATCAGGAATTCATCATTTCGTAAATGGTTTTAATGGTCTAAATGTTAAGGTTCATCCGCCCCCCTCCAAATTCAAAAAGTCTTCAACATTTGGATAAAGACATTATTTTTCTTATGAACAAGTGTTATCTCAAGCGATCTGTGAAGGTTGTCTTTCGTGCTGCTGAAACACAGACGGAAATGTCAGTTATCCTGATGACAAGTTAGATGGAAACAACAATACCATTTCACCAGATAAATGGTATACTGTACAAGACATTGAAAGCCTTAGGGCAAGACGATGTTGCCCTGTGTGCTCTAGTGGAATGTGATGTACAAGCAAGTACTGTCTGAGGTGCAAGAAGTCTCATCAGAAGAAATTGTCGAGGACAGTATCATTCTGCCCACCCACCAAGAAGTGTTACACGCCTTGGACACTTTAGAACGTTTTGTTTCAACATCCGATTGACCGCTAATTTTACGAAAGCCATAGGTACGGTTGACCGTGAAGTCTTCAAGCATTTACGTTCCTCTCTGAGACAGAGCAATATATAGAAAAGCTTCTTCAGTAAAACATGTAACATTTTCTTAGCTACAGTACAGTAATGAGATACATTCCGATGACCTCGTTGATCACGTGACTTATGTAAACCTTTTGTAAACAAACAATGCAGATGACCTCAGGTGACTTATGTACAGCTAATGCAAACAAGCAAAGTCATTCTTCCTCTTCTTCTCTTGCGGAATGTATCTCATTAATGTAATATTATAGAGTTTCTGTTCTGACATACGTAATATACCCTACTACGTGTGCATATATATACTGTATGGTTCCTGCGTAGATCAAGCTGTTTTTCAAAATTAAAATTAGAGTCCTCAGTTAACAGGAATTGTTTAAACACCAGCTCTTGATTTTTCGGTCGCTTGGGATTTATATTAACGAGCGTCTATTGTAAATAACCGCTAGTAGTGCATATTCAACGGTCACACAAGTAGAACCTTCTATTTATTTAAGAGTTAAATAAAAGAGTAATTTTAACCTTCTTAAGGCTTGATCATTTCTTTTAGACTAAAGCAATAACTCGCTTCCAGCGTAGTAGGGTCTTCAGGACTTTGACGCAAGCTTATAGACACTGTAGTACTCTACAAATGTTTTACCCCAAATGTACTCTTATGGTCACTGGAGGCTCTACCACAACACGAATTACCCTATACACAATAAGTATAAAAAATAATACTCAAATTAAATGACTTTATTTTTTTAACTGAGTGAGTTATAAAATAAATAAAGATTAGACAGCCTGTAGAATCATTAGATTATTTTGAAGCAGAAGACATGAAAATGAGCAAATCCGTCGCCGAGACTTGGACCTGGACCTCTCAAATACGCGCCGAGTGTGCTAACCGTTGCACCACAAAGTCATGCGGAAAGAAGGGAGAAAATACCTTATATACTCCCCCTTTTAAAGAGCGACTGGGAATTAGGGGACCCAATCGTCACATCCTGGATTTGAAGAATCATCATCCACCACCTTTAGTTTAGTTCTGGTTAACCTGGTTAATCACCTGTTTAGTTCTGGCGCCATTGTAGAGTCATAAGGCTATTTTGATGCTGGAGTAGTGAAACATGTGCAGTGCCGTCGCCGGGACTCGAACCTGGACCTCTCGAATAAGTACCGAGTGTGCTATCATTACATCACAAAGCCATGCAGAAAGGAGGGAAAACATACCTTCTAAGTCACCTTCAACTTGAAAGGTCAACTTAAGATTAGCTTGCAAATTTATTTAATTCAAGATGGGGAATCTTAATAACACAAGAGCTAGTATTTAAAAAAACAGTCAAATTTCCCCAAGTAACAATTAAATTTGATTTGGTAAAACGTAGGCGCGGATTCGATTGATAAATTTAGGTCAATAATAATCCTAAGAGAACCATTTTGGCTGGACAGATCCTGTAGAATCTAATTTTACTCCAAACTTCTTTTGCTTCCCAATCTTAGTTTCAAGCCTGAGACCTTTTGTTGCTAAATTTATGCATTTCTTGGTAAAGCAGTTGAGGCGAAAGAAGAAAACAGAAGTAATTTTTAACAAATTAATTAAATTGATTAATTTTAGACTAACTTTACAACTCTCATCCACTCATTGTGCATTGGGTTGTCTGAAAGGTCATAACTATGCTCTTCAGTGCTTATGCTACCTATGCTTCTTCTTCTTTTTCTATGCTTTTCAAAGGTCCTTTATTTATATAAAGAACAATGATCAAACAATAGTATACCCTGTTTTGTTATACAACGTTTTGCTTCTTTTAATGAGCTTCTTAAATCTCTGACCGGAAGGGCCGTATATATGCGGCCTATAATATTTTTGTAATAGCTTTACGAGCGTATATATACGTGTATATTGAAATCGGTCCAAGAAATTAAGACAACATATGAAAAGTACATAAATACAAATTTAAAATAGTAGAGACATTTTGGAATTAAAATAGAGAAATTCTTTCTCGTGGCAGTTATAGAAAATTTGGGCTTTCTTAGTGAAATCCCGTGACTGTTTTAATTCCTTATTTGCAAAAGAATCTAACTTTGTCATCGAAAAGTTGAATAAAGCTCTGATATACGGCCTCACCTGAAATGAAGAAAGAAATTTTATAGACAGCGAAGTGAAAAGCGAAACAAGTGAGGGCTCTGGATCAGGCAAGTATGATTACACGGCAACTCTTTTCATCTAAAATAGAATAATTTTTATCAGTGATCAAAATTTTGTGTGGTCTTGTTTCCAAGCTCCTACCACCAAGCACCAACAAGTCATCAACAAGTCAGTTCCAAGCACCAACAAATCATCAACAAGGTCAGTTCCAAGCACCAACAAGTCATCAACAAGTCAGTTCCAAGCACCAACAAGTCATCAACAAGTCAGTTCCAAACACCAACAAGTCATCAAGTCATCAACAAGTCAGTTCCAAGCACCAACAAGTCATCAACAAGTCAGTTCCAAGCACCAACAAGTCAGTTCGAATGTGAGCTGTTACCAGTTTCAACGATTCCATCTTACAGAAACTTCCAGACCTCACTAATCGCACAGGAACTGCTTTCCTTCCCGATAAATAACGCGAGACCACACACATGTCTGATGACATGACAAAAGTTATTGGATTTTGGGGGAAAAGTGTTGCCACGAGTGTTCTAGTTCCCTGAACTTGCGGCCTTAGATTTTCGCTCTCTTCAGAATTTCGTTTGGGATGAGGCCGTAATTCAGAGATGCCGTAAATCAACACCTTATTCAGTTTTTTGTTGGTAAAGCTAGGTTCTTTTGTGAATGAGAAACCAGGAAGCGAGTTAAAAGAAGGCAAACATTTATGGAACAACTCAGGGCAATATACTATCGTTGTTCTTTATGTAAATAATTGGATCTTTGAAAAACATGGAAAAAATGCGCCATGATTTTTCAGACCATTTATGTTTGTAACTATATCTTTAAGTAATTAACGCTATATATTAAATTCCTCTTAGACGCCGAAATCCGAGATTTTGAAGTATATTATTAACTCTCTGCATACTGGTGAGCATTCCCATATGCTCTATTTCGTGAACAAGGCAGAAGATATATTCGAGATTAAATTCGTCAACAGAAGAAGCTCACAGTGGAAAGAAAAAGATATCAGTCTCTTTAGGGTAAGTTTTTATTATTAGTAATAATCCCAAAATCCGTGGAATGTTTACATAGCACAAAAATGTGCAGTAATGAAATTAGCTTAATTTTATATCAGTCATCAAATTCTAGTTATTCATTAAATTCTAATTGTTTATAGTAGCTTATATATTCGTCGACAAAATGTAAAATAAAAGAAAGTAGTAATCATTTAGAGTATCTACACGCAGATTACTTCTTAAAGTAGTAATCGTTTAGAGCATCTACACGCAGATTACTTCTTAAAGTAGTAATTGTTTAGAGCATCTACACGCAGATTACTTCTTAGCGTATACCATTTTGGATCTTGTAGAGAGATAAGTTACTATGCTAAAATATTTACTTTTGTATAACGTTACTGACTCTTGTATGATGTCAGCACGACACAGCAGGTTTAGTAACAGAACGTAAGAAACTTAAAAGAGGAAATTTATCAATTTATTTAATTGCAATTAATTTTAAAAGCATAAATTGCATTAGATTTTTATAATAAAAATTGAGTATTTACGCCAAAGCTATGTACGCAATATTGACTTTTCAAAACAAAACAAAAGAAAAATTAGATCAGATAAAAAAACATCTGAAAGATTTAAGGTTTTATATTAAGCTCATACGGGCGTTTTTTTCATTGACATGTTTCGAGAGCATTTGGGCTAATGCTACATTCGGCTAAAATATTTAAAAACAGCATATCTTTAGAATTTCCGATAGACATTCTCGCTCGCGGGAGATAAAAATGTTTATTCCCAGTAGTGTTGCCACTGCTCGCTTTAAAAACGCTCTAGTTTTAATCAGAAATTCCTTTCCGAGATTTTTAAATAAAAGGTGTTTTTTTTTAAATATGAAATAGAAAAATAAAACAAATTGAAAATTCGGATTCCAGGTGCCCATGTTCGAGGAGAGGTCTACATTATTTATGTATATTCTTCATTATTTTAGTTTCTTTAAAAATATAATACGAGGCTACACTATTCGGTGGCAACAATCTGAAAAGTGATGCAGCCGAACGATATAATATATATAATGATTCGACGCAAAATGCTGCTTTAAAGATTAATAGCCTTTTTGGGTTAACGCCTATTTGGTCAAAAATTTCCGTGACGAGATAAGCCAAAAACATTCTGCTATTCTGAAAATTGTTGTAACGTTTCGTATTCTATGGAAACATAAAATGTAGGAAGCGGCTGAAGGCTTTATGTGAATCATCACAATGCCTTGTAAGTGTACCACACAAACTGACAAATGGTGTAAAGGACTCTTCAGCTCAAATATAATTTAACAGAAGGAACCCCTCGGGCTTACAGAATATAGCCAGCCGCTCGTGCGTACAGAATATAGCCAGCCGCTCGTGCTTACAGAATATAGCCAGCCGCTCGCCTTTACAGAATATAGCCAGCCGCTCGTCTTTACAGAATATAGCCAGTAGCTCGTGCTTACAGAATATAGCCAGCCACTCCTCTTTACAGAATATAGCCAGCCGCTCGTGCTTACAGAATATAGCAAGCCACTCGTCTTTACAGAATATAGCTAGCCGCTCGTGCTTACAGAATATAACCAGCCGCTCGTGCTTGCAGAATATAGCCAGCCGCTTGTCTTTACAGAATATAGCCAGCCGCTCGTGCTTGCAGAATATAGCCAGTCGCTCATGCTTACAGAATATAGCAAGCCACTCGTCTTTACAGAATATAGCCAACCGCTCGTCTTTAAAGAATATAACCAGCCGCTCGTGCTTGCAGAATATAGCCAGTCGCTTGTCTTTACAGAATATAGCTATCCGCTCGTGCTTACAGAATATAACCAGCCGCTCGTGCTTGCAGAATATAGCCAGCCGCTTGTCTTTACAGAATATAGCCAGCCACTCGTGCTTACAGAATATAGCCAGCCGCTCGTGCTTACAGAATATAGCCAGCCGCTCGTGCTTACAGAATATAGCCAGCTGCTCGTGCTTACAGAATATAACCAGCCGCTCGTGCTTGCAGAATATAGCCAGACGCTTGCCTTTACAGAATATAGCAAGCCACTCGTGCTTACAGAATATAGCCAGCAGTTTATGGCTTAAATCAAAGATATTGGATTGGCTTAAGTAAGCAAACAAAGTTTGCCTAACCGCTACATAATTAAAATCACCCGCAAGTTGGTTCTGACCTAAAGCTCGGCGCGCGCCACCAAATAGCCCCAACTAAATAGCCCTGAAAAATAACTCACGACAAAACAGCATGTGAGAGAATAGAAAAAATGTGATGAGTACACTACACGACTTCCTTGCAAGGTATGTTAAATTATACCCATCTTTTGCTGCATTTCATTTAAACTTATATCCTCGAATTTCATTAGAGATATAGTTAGTTCTCGTTAACTCAGTACTCACTCCACGGCAGGGCAAAAATATATAAAACCTCAAAATACCTTTGTAGTGTTCCTTTCCTTTTATCTAATAACTAAGTGTTGAGGCACCTAATGAAAAGCTAAGCGAATTATCTCTTAAGGGGGCTCATACACATTAAACCCCTTATGATCTTCGAATATAAGACTGTTGCAAGAATTGAGATATTTTATTTATTTTAAAAACAATTACTTTCAGCTTTTTACAGCTGACTACATAACATAGCTGCTTTGGAAAATAATAACCGAAACGTTTCTGTTGCCACAAATATTTTTGAAATTTAAACCGCTTTGTGACATAATTTTTCGTCCTGTTTCCACCTTCAGCTCATGATATTTTAAGAATGTCTAATTGTACATAATTGAAATTTAATGGAATTTTTGTATGGGAATTATTTGCTAACTAACCAAAAATCTGATAAATATTTTTAATATTAAAAAAAAATTATGCACGAAAACATTACAGTTTTTTTAAATAAAATACATTTTATAAACTCAACTCCAAATAAATAACAAAAAAATTAACATGAAATTCTTAGACGTTTTGTTTCACAGTAGTTTCCAAATGTTATAAAAGCTATATATTAAATATGGAATTAAATTATATAACAGAATATTTTAAACTGTGCCCGTAAGGTGGAAACATGACGAAAAAGTTTGTCACAAAGCGGATTAAATTGTAAAAATATTTGTGGCAACACAACCTTTCTGATTACTATTTCAGAAAGCAGCTATATTATGTAGTCAGCTGTAAACGGTTGGTAGTAATTGCTTTTAAAATAAATAAGTTATCCCAATTCTTGCAACAGTCACCTATTCGAACATCTTATGGGTTTTAGGGTGTATCAGTCTCCTTTTTCAGAAATAGAAACGTGAACCCACAAAGTGTTAATTACCCTTTATTGCTGAAAATAAAGATATACAGTCGGTTCAGGACGTACAGCAAAGCCTCCACTGGGGTTTAAACTCAAAAGTGTAAGAAATAAGAACTTAACTAATGACTAACTAAAGAGATTTAGCCGAAGCTAAGACAAGTCTAAACTAGTTTACCTCTAAAATATCGAATTGTCTAACGAAGCTATCAAGGGCCTGCAATATGGCAGAGCATAGTAACTGCTTAGACAGACGTGGCCAAAAGGCAAACGCGAGCTAGTCAAAAACTCTGCTACTCTCTCTTGCAATCAGTGGAACTTTGACTTTAATACTGCTCCTTCTCATTAATTTTAATGCGATTCTAAAAACTTATTCTGGTAAGGAATTTGTAAGCTGAAACTAGGACAGATAGGAAAGGTGCATAAAAATAACTGTTATAAACTGAGGATAAACATTTATCAAAAATTGAAAAATATAGAAATATATAAAACACCAAATATACTTGAAACAATTTAGAAAATAAAACAATTTTTACAATTAAAATTAGAGTTTCTACGCAAAAACAAGCAATTCAGGCGAGCGGACAAGAAGGGCAGACTGTTTCGGTGCACAGAACTGAAATGCTTATTTTTGGTCCCACTCGGCAAAAAGACACTGAAGTGCAGAAGCTGACTGAATGAAAAATTTAATTTTTGATTTAATCAAATACTAATTCACTGTTCTGTTATGTTTCAAATGTAAACAAATATCGCAGCTATGGTAAAAATATTAGGATTAGCCGCACTTAACCCTCGCACCGCGTACTTTTTTTATATCAAAATAGGTTAAAAAATTGCGTAATTTTTATTACATATTTCAAATCTGCATACATTTTTGAGTTAAAATATATAAAAATTATTTTGTAAAAGAGTTTTTTTTCAATATAGCATTAGCTCATAGAAAAAGGTTGTCAGAATACTGAAATTGAAGAATAATGATATAAAAGGAAAATTTTGAAAATTAATATTGGTTAAATTGTGATTTATTTTATTAAAATACAAAGGTAAAACATATATACTAATGAAAATATTTGCATAATGTAATATTTTGCATATCAATTTTGCACCACTGTCGAACGTTTTCAGTGGTTTCAGTGGTGTCGAATGGTTTCACCACTGTCGAACGTAACTGTCGAAATTGAATTTTTAGATTCATCACTATCTGCAGAGTCATCCGAGAAATTCTCACCAGTTTCGATAATATAACTATCTTCAATATACTTGAAATCAGTGTCAGAACTATTATCAGTGTCGGAAATATCGTCAGGAATATAGGTTAAATCAACTCACGAAACGCTTCCTGCCAGACATCTTTGAGCTCTGAAAAGCGCGCGCAAAATGCTACATTACGTATTCTTGTATATTCGGCAGAAATGTAGACAAGTAACGCCATCTGTTAGCCCACATCTAAATAAACAATTAAACATTACCGAAAAGCCGAAAGGAAACCTTGAACTTGGAAAGAGCGGCAAAAATAGTTAAATAGACGGCAAAAATTCATCCCCGCGGAAATTGCGGGTTGCGCAAATTTTGCCACTTTTACGTTGCCAGTGGACATCGCGGGATGCGCTGCGAGAGGGTTAAACAACTTTTAAATTGTTGATAATCCTACAGCTATTGCATGCAGATTAACTAAAGGCATAAAAACGTAACCAGAAGATAAGAACAACACAGCTG